CTGGGACATGGTGCTGGAGTGGCGAGCTGGGGGGGGCGGGGGGGGGGGGGACAGGGAAGGGGGCAGGGTTGCCGTAGCCAAGCAGAAGATCTTACAGTCCTAGTCTCTCACAAGTGCAGAAAACCCACTTAAGTGCTTTCTGAATCTTGGAAAGGAATCTGGATTAGGCATTGGCTTATCTACCCTGAAGACTCCATAATGATTGAAGAACTTGTGAAATTCTTCAATCAAAAGAGTAAGAGCTAGAGTTTTGATAAAAATAGTTTTAGTCAGGTTGTTGACAGTTTAGTAGAAAAGGAACCAGGTTGTTTCAGTTGCAACACTAATACTTTTCTTCCAAAAGAGAGATCCCCAATAGAGCTTTAGGATACACCTTCAATTAAAGTACAAAGCCACAAAACAAATATCCTCAGGAGAGCTCAAGGTAAATAGGAGGGGTGAGGGGGGGAGAAAGCAGTCTTGATATGCCCAATGTTTCAAATGCTAAACTTCCAAAGCCAGGTTTTCCTTGCAGGTTAGGATGTCCCAGTGATACCCACCACTTTAAGAAGAGCACCTAGTACTGGCCTTTTTAGAGGGGGTTATTTGTTTATTTTTTGGCCCCCAAGGATCTGGGAGACTCAGTCCATTAGCTCCAATGGAAATAGAAGGAACCTACTGAAGGGCAAAAATATGATTAGGATGCCAGTCACACATACTGCCTTACACCAGTGCCCTGCTTCAGCCCACATTTCAGTTCTAGGGAGCTCGAAACTATTGTACTATTCACGGAAACAAAGCTGACTAATCACAGCAGTGGACCCACCAAGCTGGCTGCACCTACAAAAGGGACATTACTTCATGCTGCAGAAACTTTGCATACAGAGTCAGACTGCATGTGGAATGTTATAGCAGCAACTGTGCTAAAGAGGTGTGGAGAGCAGTAACTAGACGTCTTGCAACAGATTCCAGCTCAAGCACACCAGGCTCTTTCCTGGTTCTCCAGAGGGGCTCATAGAATTCCACATTCTCCTTAAAGGCTTTCAGACACAATAGTCAGTTTTTGTTCCATTTCCTATGCTACCCACTAAGGCCTTTAGACTTAGATTTTGAAGCTGGTGTTTATCCGCTTGCCACAGGTCCCTGTTGTACACTGCCACATGCGTGCACCATGCTGAGTAATGATAAAAACTTGCCTGTTCAGAAAAGGTCCGTTTTAAAATGACAGAGTCCTTCAAAATGCTGCGCTCCCTGCTCTCTGGGATTATGCAGCTTTATTGTTGTTTAAACAGGTCCCAGAAGTTTCTTACGTGCAGCATGTGTGTACTCACTACTCAGTGTACATTACCCATTCCTCTGTGCCTCATCCAGAAAGGATGGAAATAGCCAGTCTATTACTGCTGTCAGATGGCTCTTTAGTGTAAAGAAAAGAGGCACGCCTTATTTAGCTTTGAAGAACGTCTGTTCGATATCTGACATGTCAGCCAAAATAGTCATCATCATCACTCACCAGGTAGGGCAAGCAACAGTTGAATGATTTGTAATCTCGCAGAGGGAGCCAGGCAGACCAGTGCATGCATTGTAGAATACACATTGAATCCTGTTGTTCTGCCCTTGGGAGCCAACATGAGCTCCAGATGTATGGCAATTTCAGTGGTACTAAGGTTAGAGCAGGCTCTCTAGTGCCCTTACTTACTTCAGTGTCACAACTCTATATACAGTTGCAATTCTCTCTCAGGAATAAGCGTATCGCATCAGAAATACTTTTACCATAACCTTCAGTGAAACAGTGCATTTTTGGACTTTTCCAAAATTCACTTAGATGCAGCATAGGGGGTTAGTTTGGGTCTTGTGCCAACCACAGCCTGTCCCAGTCAAAGAGCACCAGACCTATCATTGCTCTGAGGCCATTTCACACACTTACAAAAAACAGTTTTCAGGCTTTTAGAGTGGTATGTAACCAAATCATAATGGCTACTCACAAGCCAACCACCTGGCTGGAGTTCTCTGCTGCGCTGCATAGTCCAGTCACATGCAGTCCAGCCCACTTTAAAATACTTTCAAACCTTTTATTCCCCTCCAAGTCTCCATAATGGAGTTACAGACAGACAACAGATCCCCAGCCTACTCTTGGAGAAGTTTGGCCTCTGCCTAGGAGGAGACAGTCACCACAAGAACAAGCACAGACAAGCCACAGACAGGAAAAAGTTGGCAGGTAAAAATCTCAGCAGACACAGGCAGGAAGAAGAGCAAACAGCCAGCCCTCTCCTCCACTCAAGCCGAAACTTGAGAGAAAGTCCAGGGGATGCGTTAGGAAAGCAAAGCCTCTTTTAACGAGAAGTATACAACTAGGAGCACAAGTGTGGTCAAAGCGCAACAGGCCATTAGGCATCACCTACACGGCAGCCTCTCTCCAGCAGCGAAGTATCCAGTACAGTTCAGAGATAGGTAATCCTTCCCCTAAACATAGAGCATGCACTCAGTTGTGCAACACATGGGGAAGAATTCCATTTTGGCTCCACCCAAAGATCAGCTCACATGAGAGCAGAGGATCCAGAGCTCTTGTCATGTAACCGCCTGGATGGTGACAAGTTCTACTCCTATTACACAGAGCAGTATCGGAGCCCTTGTAAGGCTTAGCTACTTCTCAGCTGCATTTGAATTCCAGGGCAGGGTGGGAGGCTCTGTTCGGGTTTTGTATTGCATCACCATAGTATCTGAGATTATTTTCCATTAATTAGATCAGCAGTGGAATTCATGGAGTGAGACTAACTCGTATCCTGGTCTAAGGAAAGGAAACTTCTGCTTTGGGGTGGAGAGATGTATGGAGTAAAGACCTCGCTTACAGAACACTGGCTAGTAAGTTCCCAGTTAAAGGAGGTGGTTTGCTAGGCTTCCCCCCTTCTCGCCTCCCCCCCAGTCCACAAGGGCTCAGCAAAAAAATATGCTGCTGGCACAGAAAGCAGTCAAACTGGTTAAAGCATTTGGGCCGTGCTGGCTGCACTTGTGATATTTCTACTGAAGAGACTGATCTGTTCTGCCACAGGGAAGGACAAGCTGCAGATGTCCTGTTCTCCCAAGCCATGCTTGGTGCCCTCCATGCTCAAAACAGATGGGCAGTGTCGCTGCCATTTTCTCCCCCCGCCCAGCAAGTTACGGTCCCCCAGGTTCTCATGATGGCAAAACTGCATAGGTTGAAGCTGGCTTCTGCTCCTGTAAAACAGGCACTGGTGGCCCACCCCACCTCAGTGCCACATGCCCACCCAAAGGTCCCAAGGGCAGGGCAGACAGGCAGGGGAAGAGCGCCGGCAGGAAGGCTGGTGCTTGTCCTCCAGGCTCCTGCAGCCGGGGGCCTACAGTGACGGGCAGGCGGTGACACTTGTGGAGCAGAGGGGTGGCAGGGACGGAGGACGCCAGAGGCAAGCGGGCCGGCCCCACATCAAGGCAGCTTCAATCCTCCCGGAGGCCGGGGAGGAAGGAAGGACGCCAGGCGGCGCTCCCCCACCGAGGGCTCCCGGATCTCACCAAGGGCGTTGGGTGGGGGGGGATCCCAGCGGTTTGCAGCCGGGGGTGGGGGCCCTTTGGCAGCGGCTCGGGTTGCAGTCACCATGGGACCGGCCCGCACAAAGGCGGCCTGTCCCTCGACCCCCTCTCCGCAACTGCGGGGGTCGCGGGCAGAAGGGAAGGCAGCTCAGCCGGGAGAAGGGGCTGCATGACTCACCTTTTCCGCCTCCACCTTCTCCGTCTGCTGC